TTCCAACGTTGCTAAAGAAAGCAGAATTCAAGGACCAGCAGATGGTGTAACGGTTATTTCACTGGACTCCCATGTAGTTGACTATAGTTCAAGTCCCAGATCTGGCAGCTTAAAACTCACACTGGGCATATGTGCATGCATGCGTGTGTGTGTTCCAAGAGCCCAGGAAGAGAATGGAGGAGAGGGGATTGCGGCATGGCCATCAACCCTGAGAGGTGATTTGTCGCTTTTTGTCTCTCTGTCTGCCTCTGTCTCTCTGGTGAGCACACATGACCTATACCAAAAATCTCTCTTTAAAAAGATAAAAAGGAGAAAGAAAACAGAATTCAAACAATAACAATAAAGGTTATGCAAACGTGACGACTGTTCTACAGACACACAATAGATAGAAATGATCCAGAAAATGAGGCATGTGGGGGAGGGCGATACAGAGCAGTTCAGTGTTTTGTTTTAGTGTCAGCCTTTATTAACATGGCCACGTATGGCATAAACTTCACATTAATGTCATTCCTCTTCAAGTTTTCTGGGACTTACTCATATTCCCAACCTGACTTTCATACATAGTGTAGAACATAGTCTGTGAGATCCTAAAAAAGAGCCAGACCAGCTGCTAACATCCCCAGTCAGTCCCTCCAGTTAAAGTGCAAATGTACCATGACACCGCCATACAGTTAAAAAGTGAAAGGAGGTGTGGCCGGCAGGTGGTGTAGCAGTTAAGGCACTGGAGCCCCCCAGGGCTAACCACAGTTTGAGTCCCAGACCTGGAGGCTTGCTTTCTCACTTTCTCTCTCTGGTCAAATTAAAAATAAGTAAATAAATGAATAAGTAAAATTAAATAATTCTTTAAAAAACAAAACAGAAAACAGTACGTCATTCTCGGCATGCCCTTGGCCATTACGTTAGGCGAACATTTCTAACTTCATTATTTCAGGCAAAGTGTTGTGACCAATCAAGGAGGTCCCATAATTCCAGTGGTGAAGGCAAGGCAGTCTCTGGGGACAGAATTGAACTAAGAGCTTTCCCAGTAAGCTAGCCCTGAGCAAATGAGTCAATTGAACCTGATCTTTAAAATGCAAATACAACCTATTTCACAAAACTATAGAGAGGATTCAATCTAGTAACTTTAAGTACCTAGCACAGCATGATTTCTAAAAGGAAGTTAGGGGAGAAAAAAGAGGGCTCTTCCACTCCCCAAACCAAAGTCACTCTAGCACAGTGCAAGAACCAGCTGAGATCCAGCAGTAAGGAAAGGCAGAGAGTTCCAGAGTGCCCTTCATGATGGGGAGAGTGGGGAAAAACCAGCATTTCTGTGGCTTTCTCCTTCCCCTCTGACAATCCTTAGGCCAAGGACATCTGGTGCCTGGATGAAACCAGCCAGAAAGTCCACTATCCTCAGTTGAGGGCAAGGAGGAAAACAGATAGGAAGCATCAACTATTCATTTAAACTAAAACTCTGCCCCTTTATGCTGTGAGAACTCAGGACCTATTTTTGTGCTGAATACAGGGCACTAACATTTACTACCATGGAAGATAAATTCTTAAGTGTGAACTTGTTATATTTGCCAAATATGCTTCTGAGAGGCCCTATTTCATAAGAAGTCAATGCTTTTCACAAACAAAAAGAAAAGATGGTCCCTCTGATAATTCCTAACCCCAAGTAGCCTGGTTTAATTACATTTTGGCAAATAAAGATAACAGTTTTTTTACAAAACCAAACTATATCTTGGAGATAAAAAAAAAATAGTAAACTATAACTCAGTACTAATAAACAAAGGAAAAACTTTTTTTTTTTTTTGCTTTAGGGGGAAAGGGGGAGGGCGGAAATAGTGTTAGGGTTAGGGTTAGAGTTTAAGGAGTGTGTCAGTGAGAGGGAAAGTAAGAAGTCAGGGGAGTGTAGGAATAGCCACAGGGCAATCCCTTCTCCCCCATTCTCCTCCTGGGATCTTAGCCATGCACACACAAGCACTTGGTGTGATTTTTAAGCCACCAGGTACAGGACTCGAGCTGCAGTCAGCCATGTGGAAGTCCAGTGACATGTCTGCTATGCCATCTGCTGGCCCCAAGGAAAATTCTTATGAGCATTTAAAAATTAGTATGTCTAGGCTACTTTACTTGAATGATCTTATTGATTTTTTTTCCCTAACTTACTCCAGTATTCATAAGTTGTCTCAAGTCATAACTATGTTATGGTTTTCTGTCCCATTACTGATCACATCAGAATTGCTGTGATCTCTGAGGTTTCCTCCTGATCACTGAGAATTCAGCTCTGCTATGGATGGTAGTAGCACACAAGAATGACCAAATAGCCATTAAAAGTGATAAATCATTATCCTTCCAAAAAAAAAAAATAAAAATGACATTCTCCCCCTTCCCTAGCCCTGTGAACGGATTCTGGGGCTGGGGCAGACATTTTAAGCTACAGGATCAGATGGGGGCATTTTGTAGCTATAAGGTCACCACCAGAAAAACTCCGTTGACCCCTTCCACAGCAAGCTCCATAAATATTCATTAGAATCTTTAGCATCATTTCCTTCTTCAAGGATCCAACCTGTACCCTGGAGCTATAGAAAAGAGTCAAAGGAGGACAAGGACATTCAGGACCTACCAGTTTCTCAGCCAGGACCCTGAGGCAGTCCAGCAAGCTGCACTGAGAATCCTTTTACTAGGTATTATTTATGCCATTCATCATGAAAACACAAAGACACAATAGTTGGCCCAGCACGGACTACCCCATGGGAAGTGTGATCACTGGCAGAAGACATCAAATCCCACAGACTGGTAGAATCCAAAAAAAGTAGTGACTCCTAAATATTTCCCTTTCTCCTTGGCTCCTGCTAAATCCATAGGCCTAAGCTGCTTTGCTGGAATACGTGCTAGCTCTGTGCTTCCTGAGGTGTGGAAATGATACCGACTGTACAGGTGAGATTAAAACCCACCGCACGCTGTCTGCAGCCATATCTGGCGTGCAGTCACACTGCTTTATCCACAAGGCTGGGGGACAGGGCAGAACCACACGAATTGAACATCTTGCTGTGCTTCCAATGTTCATTAAGTGCTTTTATATGCAGTCACCTGCCCACCCAGAGAACCACACTGCACTAATTCACATTAAAGAGACTATAATCTGTTCACATTTGAATTAGGATGAACTGGAACATTTCCACTGGAAAAATCATCACGCATCTTAATTTCTGCTGCCAATTAGAAGGTCTTTTGGGAAAAAAACCTGATCATCTTACATAGAGTCATTTGCCCTAATTGGTTGGTGCATAATGGGTCAGATCAAATTTGCAGATTACCTCCATAAGTAAATAGCTTATTCCAGGTTTCTAGAACCATCAAAAATTAGCCTCACTGTCTGGCAGTAAAACTTTCACTTCCAACTATACATCTTGTGGGACCTTTTGAATTTCCTAAGCATGAATTTGACTACAGATGGTAGTCTACAATGAGCGCTCAAAGAACAAGTCTAAGGAGTGATACATTGTCTACCCACATTTTCTGTTGAAATTCAGAGTTCAATCTCTTTCCAGAGGTTTTATTTGTTTAAATCCCGGAAAAATCAAAGTCCTAGAAGCACAGGAAATATATAAAATAAAAGCCAGTGGCAAGGGAGAAAAAAAAAAATCTACCCTGCCTCAGTCCTCAGACTTGGCTTACTACTGTAGTCTTCCTTGCTTTTAATAACCTCCCTCATGGATGAATTTTAAAAGTAATACTCTTTTTCACAAACATTCACTACAGTAGGTTTGTCCTCAAACAACCACTTCCAGGAAGTCTTCCAGGAATTACTAAAATGGACAAAGCAGCCGTTACTGGCTCTTTCATTTGCCCGGATTCTGGCAGGTGACAGTAGCTTGGACTCACCAGACACTGGCTCAGGGCCTCCAAGGAGGCCAAGCCCCAACTCCGGCCTCCCCACGCCCCCGCACCTCCTGCCCTGTCTGGGCCAGAGCACCCAGGTAGAGAAGAGAGGTAAACACTAGGTTAAGATAAGGTGTAAGCGGTGAGTCCAAAGGCTTTCTCGTCAAACCAAGAGCAAAACCCCAATCTCGCACAAAACATCTCCGGTTCGCACAAGCAGCAGTATGGTTGTTTCCTTCCCTTTTTAGAAGTTTAATTTTAGTTCTTTCGAAAAACGGTTTTTATTGCTCATTTTTGAACGAAACGTTGTTCGCTACTAAGAAGTAGAGGAATGATCTTTTTGAAAAGTACTGAAGTCACGTTCACTTTCTAACCACTCATCCAAACGCTTGGGGAACTTACTCCTCTCAAGTGACAATGAGTTTTAAAGCCTAGTTAGGCCCACCATGCGTATCTGGGGTGGTGCTGCGTCCGTGATTTGGGATCTTACGACTTTTTGTTTTCAACTTGGCCTAATGACTTTGCCATTTCCTCCAGGGGGGTTACAAGTTCTTTGAAAACGTTTGTAAAAGTTCTAGAACAAAACCAAAACCAATTCCTTTTCAACTTTACTATCCAAGTCGGATTGGTCTGACCCGCTAATGCTTTTTAGAAAAATCAGCTTTTCTCAACCTTTCCTATCTCTGCCACTTCCCGGAGAAAGTGGGGGGTGGGGTGGGCGGAAGACACCAAAACGCAAACAGGCGCGCACACACTCACTCAGGACCTCTGCAGCGCTGCGCCCCCGCGGTCTCCCCGCCAACACCTCCCTCCCAATGCATCCACACCTGGGGCCCGCGACCGCAGTGGCCGGGCCTGCGACTCCGGGACAGCCTCCGGGGTACCGTGCGGGACAGAGCCGTGCGCCCGGCTGCCTGCGAGCGTGCGGCCCCTCGGGCGCGGGTGGCACCACCCTGACCCACTGCGCACACCTGCAGGGCGCGCCCGCCCTAGCATTCATGGGACCCGGCGCGCTGGACTCACAGCACCGCAGCCAAGGGCCACGTTTCCAGCCGAAGGCTGGGAGTGGGGCCGGGCCGCAAAGGGAAGGCACGCCATGGGCGCGTCGGGGCTGCGGCGGGCAGCCGGCCCCTCACCTGGGAGCGAGTCGCCAGCTCCATTCTTCCTAGCGGGGCTCCGGTCACTTCCTCGCACGCGGCCACGGGCGCTCAGCTCGCCCCGCGGCCACTCAGCCAGCGCGATGGGCTGGGAGCTCCGGCGGGCCCAGGGAGGGGCGCACTCGGCGCCCGGGACAGGGGGAGCGCTCCGCGCCGCTCACTCGGCGTCGCCTCGCCCGGCCTCTAGGCTTGGGTTGCGGACCCAACTTCGCGACTACGGAACTTCGTCCCGCAGGTGGCGCGACAGGAGGTTGCAGTTGGGCGCGGCGGGAGCCGGCAGCGGGTGAGCGGGCGCCGGGCTCCCCCCTGCAGCGGAGGGAGGGAGTGGAGCGGTCCGGCCGGGTTTAGCGCGGGAGAACTGAGAGGGGGCCGTCCCGGCGTAGCTCCAGCTGGCACGCCTGGCTACGCGCGCAGGATACTTGCAGAGTTTATTCCAGGTTGTGTCCTGGAGCGCGAGGCTATGCTGCAATCCGTGGAAAGGATTTTAGGGCGGCTTCAGGACTTGTTTTATTGTTGATGTGAAGGGGCGAGGTTCTGCAGCCTCTGAAAACATTTGCTGCAGGGTCCGCTTTGCACAATAGGAAACCGAGGTTTCTAAAGCTCAAATGGGGAGCTGCAAACCGGTCTGGAACCTTAGACAGCCACGGGACACAGTATCATTGCACACTAGGCCTCCACGCGCACTAGATAGCTCAGAAAGGCGGTTTAACTTAGCAGATACTAATTTAGCAGCTACTATGTAGCAGGCACTGGGTTAGGCCTGGGAACCCAAGGGTCAACAACAAACAGTGCTCTCGCTTCAGTTTTACAGTCTGGGAGCCAGTTTCTGACATAATGATGTGAATAAAGGTAATAATGATACAAAAAAGTGTTATGACGATTACATGATTTTTATTCATTTTCATTGATAATGTAATACTGCTAATTTGGTCACTACCACGCGTTAATCATTGTAATGATGATGCCAGTAAATGTAAAACTGGAGCAATGAAACATACCATTAGGAAAAAGGTAAGCGGTATTAAGGTGTTGTAAAATAGGGAGACTTAATCTTGCAGAGAACAAGGAAGACTAAAGTTTGAGGAGTGGGACCAGTGGATGGTGTAATGGCTATGTCACTCGACTCCTATGTAGTTGACCGCTGCTAGAGTTCAGGACCGGTGGCTTAAACTCACGTAGGGTGCGTGTGCGTGCGTGCCCAAGATTCTGAGAGGAGAATGAAGGAGAAGGGATTGCGGCGTGGTCATTCCCCCTGGGGGTGATTTCTCTCTCTGTCTCACTCTGTCTTTCTGGCAGCGCAGGCGCCCTTTAGCAAAAACCTCTCCAAAACAAAAGTTTGAGGAGTAAAGAAGTGAGTGAGTGGAGATGTTGTGGAAGGCTTTGAAGCAGGTAAATGTCCAACCCTAGCATGTTTGCGCGGCAGACCGGAAGCCTATTTACGATTGTGGTCATGAGTACATAAGTGAAATCATCTCTGTGCCTGCGCCTGCAGCCCTTCTCAGCCGCTTGGGATCCGACCTTCACCTTTTTTTTTTTTTTTTCTTTAAGGAGTGAATGAAATTGGCCATTTACTCAAGCTTGAAGAGAAGACATCTGAGAACAGGTTCTCCTTCCTTTCATCATTAGTGTAGCACAGGTATTTACGCGCTCAGTGTCCCAGGCTCTGAGGATAATAAGACCAAAAAAAAAAAAAAGTCTGAGGAAAATGTTTTATTTTCACTGGATAATTACCTTATTGATTATAGCCTTTACATTTTTATCATGCTGTAACGTTTTCCTCCACATAGGGTATCTCCTTGAACCTTATCAATCAACATTCTTGCAGATTCTTACTGTCCAGTTTTAAAACAAGGAAAGTGAATCAAAGAAAGATACATTAAAAGAAAGATTCCTGATCCTGCTGGCCTGCCCTCAGGTCTACCCTGGAAACCTTTCCTTCAGATGCAACATTCCACTTTCCTTTACATTTCCCCTTTGGCTGCCAGGAAGTGCAGAGTACTCCATCAGAGACTTGTTTTGTGTTGTTTTTAGGTAATTACTTCCCATATGAACCAATTATCATATTAGCATTTATTTATTTTCATTACAGGTTGCATCAACTCCCTTTCAGAAAAGGGAATATAAATTTGAAGTAGGTCAGATTTTGCAAAGCACTCAAGCAACTCAGACTTGTATTATTTAGAAATCCGGAGTCTTTTTAGAAATTAGTCATAACTACAGCAAGACTCTAAAAGAGTCAGGTCCCAGCTACTATGGAGGTAAAGGGGGGCGGGGTGAGGCATGTCCAGACCCTGCTTAACAAATAACCTCACACATACAAGAAATTTGCTATAACTAGCTCTAACTCACATGGAAACCTAAAAGCTTTCTTCTTTTGCTCAGCAAAGCAGTGGTATTTAGTAATGGACTCTGTAGTGGTATGTTTTGTTGTCAGGCTCTGGCTCCATTTTGTTTAGGGAAATTTTTAAGACACTGAGGGATTTTAGTATCACACTAGGATAATACTTCCTACTAATGGTTAGTAATGGCGTGGGGTAAGGGGTGAGCTCTGGCTTTCAGTATGGCACTGTGAGAATGCGTGCAGAAGCAGTAGTAGACGTACTGCAGCAAAGGAAAAATGTAATGTTTGCAAACTTCCTTTAAAAAGTCTGTCTAGAAATTTATGCTTGCTTGCTTGCTTTTTAAATATTTTCATGAGAGAATTTAAAAAAATTGGTCTATAGTACCTTGAACAAGGTAAGAAAATTGTGATTAGAAGGTAAAAGAAGTGAAAAATGTGCCACTCCAAAATATGCCATTTTGGCACATTTATATTTTAATTAAAGGCACTTTTAAAGTAATAGCAGGTGCAAGAAAATCACTTTGACCTTGCTGTTTCTTAAGAGGAGATGAAATTCCCAAGTGAAAGCTGCCCTCCCTTCACACTAGAAGAAAATCAACATTTTTACAAAGGATAGGAAATTGAAGAGGGAAATTTGTACAAATGTTGTTAAACTAACCTGTTTCTTCCTAGTCACTACTCTATCAATTAACTACTCTAGCCCAAGCCTCTTTGCCTGAACTTATTTTCAGTTTACTACTTCGTGCAATTCAGCATTGTTAGGAAGGCTCCTGTATCATGTAAAACTTGTATTAAATAAATATGTATGCTTTTCTTTTGTTACTCTAGTTTGTGTCATTGTGTTCATTCTTGGGCCTAACTGGAAGAGAATTTTACCTCCTATATGAAGCGATCATTAAACCTTTAACGGACATGAGAGTTGTGAAGGATGTCGGTCCTGGCCCCCAACTCTTGTTCTGTAAAAGGAGGACAGATGTGTCCCTTCTCTGAAGTAGTAGCTAGGCCCTCCCCACGGAGCATAATTGTGGGCAAACTCCTTAGTCTACTTAGAGAAACACATCAGTTTGGTGCTCTGCACAGCTCAACAAAGACCCTTTGGCAGAGAGCAATAAGTAGTGTGGGTAACCTGAATACTCCTTAGCATTCTATTTGACCGTGAATTTAGAAAGTGACAGATAAACAAATTAGCATTCTGATTGTTCTCTTTTGGTCTCTTAAAACTTCCATCTCATACTGATTAGATAAGACCTAGCCTGAAGCTGGAGACAGACATCCCTAAATTTAAGACAATTCAGAGAGAAAATTTCCAAGTTGTTACAGAACAAAAGATACAGAATCAAGTCTCTTGTACCAAATCATCATCTAACAATGACTATGTGCTTTCTGGGAATTTTTCTTTTATTATAACTTAGTATTATGTCCTCCTGACTTGGCTTGCCAAGATAATAATGCCATGGTCTCACAATTTAAGTATATTCTCATGAAAACCACATAAATAGCTTTAGAGAAAAGGATCTGGGCAATCAATAATCAACTGAGTGCAGAAACACAATGAAACCTTAATGCCCATGGATCTACCGAGAAGTCAACAGCAATAGTGACTTCAATCATGGCAGCTAACCCAACAAGAGCTCACAAAGCTTCAAGCCCTGTGCAAAATTCACCTATGCATTCCCTAATTTTATCCTTCTATTGTAGAGTTGTTCTGTATCTGCTCCTCAACATTAGAGCTGTAAAAATAAATAGTATTTCTAGGTCCAGCAGCTGCATGGTGGTTAAAGCACTGGACTTCCACATGGCCAACTGCAATTTGAGTCCTGGACCTAGTGACATGAAAACCACACCAGGCGTGTGCAAGCATGTGCCCAAAATCTGGAGAGGAGAAGCAAGATGGATGGCAGCGTAGACATTGGTGGGGGTATTTCTCACTTTTCCTTTTACTGTCTGTCTGTCACTCTCTGGCAAGCACAGACGCCCTATAGCAAAAACCTTAACAAAATATTTTTAAGTATTTGGAATTCCTTAGAAATGCTATGTAAACTCCAAATATGATTGTTGCAGAAATCAGACTGTCAAGAGACTAAGCACTATTCCAGAGAGTAAGAGAACTCAGGTGGTTATGCCCACAGACCCAGAGGAGTTCATACTCCAAAGTCTGGGCACAGATTTGTGAAAGTTACAGGGGTTATATAGTCAGGGTTCAGGGATGTTGCAGATAAACTAGAAAAGTCAAAGCAGTAAAGCAGTTGCAAACTAACTTGTAACATTTCCCAGTTCCTACAGAAACTGGTAAGCAGGCAATTTACAAAAGTGGAAGAGAAGTATTTCCTGTTTGCAAGCAGCTTTAGCAAACAGCATCCATATCCTGATTAATGCAATCCATACATCAATGGCTTTTGCAATACATAGTATGTTATTTATAGTTTAAGCTGCAAACATAAACAAAGATTTTAAATAAGGATTAACAATAGGTAATAATTAAAACAGATTATTTAATAATTTATCTAAGACTTTATGTATTATAAGAGAAAATAGTAATGGTGCATTTTTAATTAGTGGTACCAACAAAAGTCTCAGGGCAGTTTTTAAAGAACCACATTTTCCATAAGGAATTACAGTTGACCCAGATCAACGACGACTTGAACTGAGTGGGTACGTTGGTATGTAGATTTTTCTTCAATAAATGTGTTTTCCTTATAGCTATCTTAATTGCATTTTCTTTTATTTAGCTTGCTTTATTGTAAGAATATACTATATAATACATAAAATAATGTGTTGAGTGTTTATTTAATTGGTAAGGCTTCCAGTCAACAGTAGGCTATTAGT